TCTTTGGTCTCAGAATAGATCCTGGGTGTAGATGGATTTTTCTGCCCCGACAGCCAGGTCCCAAATAACCGCACAGAGACTTGTTTTTGTTTTGTTTGTTTGTTTGTTTTTCAAGACAGGGTTCCTCTGTGTAGCTTTGGAGCCTGTCCTGGAACTTGGTTCCGTCCACAGCTCCTTGGCATCGTCTCATAGTATTGGCATCTCCAAAATGCTGGGGGTCTCTGCTGGAGTTTGGTGGTGCCTTCACCTCTCTTGGGCTCTCTTCAGGGACTCCAACTCTGTTACACAGTGCCAGGCCTCAGCTGCTCTCCGTCACCCCTCCATGCCTTCGAAATCAGTACCACACTGGGATAGTCTTACACATTACGCTCTGGCTGACAGCACAGGTAGAGCCATGGTCCCTCTGGATCACAGCTTCTGTGTTCTGACCCCAGAAAATTTCACCTCCATGGAGCTGGTCCCTTCTTAATCACAGCCAATCTGCCAGCCCCAGCTGGCCACTAGCCCCAGCTGGCCAGTATTTTCTTTTTTTTTTTTTTAATTCCGAGACAGGGTTTTTCTGTATTGCTTTGGAGCCTGTCCTGGAACTCGCTCTGTACACTGGGATGGTCTTGAACTTGCAGTGATCCAACTGCCTCTGTCTCCCAAGTGCTAGAATTTAAAGTGTGCACCATCACACCCAGCATTTTTAAAAATTTATTTATTTACTATGTATACAGTGTTCTGCCTGCATATATATCTACACACCAGAAGAGGGCACCAGATCTCATTACAGATCGTTGTGAGCTACCATGTGGGTGCTGGGAATTGAACTCAGGACCTCTGAAAGAGCAGCCCGTGCTCTTAACATCTGAGACATCTACCTATCCCCACACCCAGCATTTTAGTGGTTCTTAATTCAAAATATCTAACAACCTTGACAGGGTCTTTAAGGGACTCTGGAAATGTTCCTCTTGAAGCAGCACAAGCCAGGCCTCCATTGTGCGTCGCCCACCGTCTGATTACTCTTGACATCTTGGAAGCTCCCACACAACAGTCCACTGAGTGCTCAGCGGTCAACAGCTCTCCCAGCCCAAACTTCAAGAGAAACCATAGTCCTCCCCAAAAATACGAAATCAGGTTCGCCACAGCAGATGTGGTACCAATTTTTGTCTTACTTGGGATTTATGAAGTAACTTGGAGAGTGTCTTAGGTACGGTTTTTATTGCTCCAAAGAGACACCATGCCCACTGCAACTCTTATAAAGAAGTATGTAGCAGGGTGTTGGTGGTGCACGCCTTTAATCCCAGCACTCGGAGGCAGAGGCAGGCGGGTCTCTGTGCGTTCCAGACCAGCCTGGTCTACAGAGTGAGTTCTAGGACAGCCTCCAAAGCCACAGAGAAACCCCGTCTTGAGGGAAAAAAAAAAAAGAAAAAAAAAGGTATTTAATTGAGGGTGGCTCGCTGACAGCTTCAGAGGTTCAGCGCATTATGACCATGAAGCCGAGCATGGCAGCGTGCAGGCAGATGTGCTGCAGCTGAGAGTCTTTCAGGTAACAGGAAGTGGCCGACTGTCACAATGAGGTTAGGAGTCACCTAAGACCATCAGAAAACACAGATGTTTACATGACAATTCATAACAGTAGCAGAATATGATTCATAATAGTAGCAAAGTTACAGTTATGAAGAAATAATGCAGCAGAAATAATGTCATGGTTGGGTTTCACCTCAGCATGAGGAACTGTATTAACTGTATTATTAAAGGGGCGCAGCTTACTGAAGGTTGAGAACCACTGCTAACCGCTGCTTTAGAGCTCTCCCCCTCACCGTGCCAGGTGGCTGACTTCCATGATGGCTTAACTCAGACAGCTTGGTTTTTTGTTGTTGTTGTTGTTTTTTTTTTTTCCTGCCCCTCCATTCTCCTACTGCTGAGATTGACAGCTGCCTGCCCTGGGGTTTTTCTTTTAAACTCTAATAAAATTGTCCTCTATGCATAGACTCTGGCTTTGCCTGACTTTCAAACTTTTCCTGCCTTTCAATTCTCTGTTGGGGCAAACAGATCCATTCTTGCATGCCGCAGATGGTGTCAAGCTCACTGAAGGCCCCTGCTTTCTACTCAAGAGAGAACTAAGGCTTTTAGAGGCTCCCTGCCTCCACCCTAGGGCTTGGAATGCATCCTCTCAGAGGGGCTGCAGGGGTGCCGTGGAGGGGGGTGCAGTGCAGGGGTTAAGCTCCACCCCTCAGTTGCTTTTCCCTGGAGGGGAGGACCAGCCCAAGTACAAGTCCTTCTGTGCCAGGGACACTGTGGTTATAGGAGGCACACAGGGGTTAATGTGTGTGCACAATGGCAAACAGCTTCGGGACAGTGGAGTCAAGATTTGGCCCTAGGTGGTCTGACTCCCGGGGACCCTCCCCTCTTTTCTGAGGCTCCTTTGATGTTTTCTGTGCTGGGTTTGGGAGCAAGAGGGACAGTCTGGGGAGCAAGCAGAGAGCACCTAAGGGTGCTGGTCTGGGAGAAGAGAGCTGGACTACGGTGAGAGTTCAGGGATTCCACATTTATTACTGAACTTTTGAACACTGTTAGTGAGTGACTCTGGGTGAGGCCCAGCCCTCTGAGCCTGGACCTCACCATCATATGAAGAGTTTGAACCAAATCCCTGAGACGTAGCCTGGCCAAGCAATGGATGGGCCAGCTTCCAAATAGCACTGGCACGTACTATTTGCATAGTCGAAACACCCCTGCAAACAATCTTGAAGGGGATGCACACGCCTCAGGCTTGGGACTCTACTTTTGTTGTTGTTTTGTTTTGTTTCGTTTTGTTTTGTTTTAGTCAGGCTCTAATGTAGCCAAAGGCTAGCCTAAAACCACGCAGCCAAGGATCACATTGAATTTCTGATCCCAGAGCTCTGGGATTTCAGACGTGCACCCCCAGATTCCAGAATTTGCTAGGCAGGAAGTCTATCAAGCTACAGCCAGCCTGGACTCCGATTTTGAGACTAAACTTATGGGTCTGTGTGGCTGTGGAAGGAAGGAGCCCTTGGAAGCTGGAAGCCTTGTGGTACTCTCATCCCGATTCCTGGGGCAGCACCTGGCTTGGATTCTCCGGAGGTCCCTGGCCTCTGAGGGCTACATCTTTTCAGCTTCTCCTGGCTGGTATACAACAGATCTTTCCCTCAAAGTTACAAGGCGTAGGACTCCTCCTCTCCTCCACTCTGCAGAAGTAGGGGCTTCCATGTCTGGGGGACAGGGAGCATGTTGATCCGGGCTGACACGGCAGAGTTTTCCTGAGCCCCAGGTAAAGATTCCAGCAACGACACTTCCACGCTGGATAACTTTGGATCACTTGCTTGACCGTATGAACCTCCACATCCATCTGTGTGAGAGGATAATGGCACCCTAGTCACAGTATTATTGGGGTGCCTGGCAATACTGGGCACTCAGTGAATGGGGTTCCCAGAACTAAGCTCCACCAATGGGGGAGGGGTGGAGGGCCTGCAGCCAGGCCTATATTTAGTCTAGAAAGGGTGGGCCAGCCTGGTGCCCCAGCAGGCGGAGCTGAGCAGAGACTCCTGGATGACCGCCCCCACATTCCCACCCTCCCGGTCAGCAGGGTCACCTTGGCTGGAGTGACAGCCCAGGGCTCCCTTAGACCAGAAGAACCTGGTTTCCAGCGGCAGGAAGCTGCCTGTGCAGGGGTGGCGACCTGTGATATAATGCACCCCACCCCCCCC